CGAGCCAGGAGAAATACAGCCATGGCTGCCACCACTGCCATTACTACTACCATTACATACATATACCCCACCTGTAATCGAGTGTGTGGGTCCAGGATAGGACTGTTTAGCCATCAAAGATCTCACCGATAAAGGCGTGGACGTCGTCATCGGATTCGATGGACAACCGAGAGAGAGTGTGGTGGGGGGATGGGGCTGTATGTCCAATCTAGGTGCTAAATTCAATACATATGTGTTTATGTGGACTTGAAGTAGTGTTAGCTAGAGCAAGAAAATCATTAAAAAATTAAATAAAAAAATATTAATTTTATCTAAATATAATTTTACATTTACATTTTTTTAATTCATTCATTTACATACATTTATTCACACAAATACATTCATTTTTACAGCTTATCCTCTCACTCGTCTTGTCAATTCCAGCTTGTTTTCTCTTCTATGGTCTTCTGATGTCCTACTCATTCCTTTCCATACAGTGAAATTGAATGAAAAAAGATATAAAAGCACCAAAAATATAGTTCACAGTCTATATTTCAAGTCTTCTGTAGCTTTGACATGTCGTACCAAGTGTAATGTGAATGATGAGACATGAAGACCAATTATGTTTAATGCCATTGATGACAAACCTGGCACAACACTTCTTGAGGTGCCATGTTTGTGTGTAGGAGAACATAAATGAGATTTGAGAGGAAGATTTTCAAGTCACTGAATCAGTTCAAACAGACTGTCCATTTGAACTGACTTCTTCAACTGAATCGAACCAACTCTAAACCAAAGTCTGATGGCAAAAGAGACCTTGATGAAGCAAATTGGTTAAATAGTGCATGTAAGAGAGGGGAAAAACGGTAACCACAGACGAAAGAATAAAAAGCCTGTTGACCTCTCATTGTTTTGTGGTCAGAGAGAGCTTTGTCATTCTTCTACCGCAGAGCTGAGCATGGAAAGGTCTGGAATGCCCCAAACTGTTGGGAACGTAACGGTCTTCATAAAAGCCTGCCAGTTAACCTACTCCACACACACACTCACCTTGTTTAACCCCAACTCCCGCCTTCCCTGTGCTAAGGTTTATTGCATTGATACCAGATTTTGAGAGGGGGGATTTGAGAGGTGGTTAAAAGCTGCAAGATTTAGCTCCACATTTTGAGCAAGCACAGAATATAAATTTCTAATGTTCCTTATTTTGATTAGTTTTGTTTTTGTTTTTGTTTTTGCTTTTTCTGGTGCTAGCCATTTGTGCTAGTCTCCTGATCTGCCAGATATTGTTTTTATATGTATAAGGAGGAATGACTGAAAAATGCATAATTTCACATGATATAAAACATTAAAGGGGTCATATGATGCTGCTAAAAAGAACATTATTTTGTGTATTTGGTGTAATGAAATGTGTTTATCCAACGTACTTACAGACTGTGAGTCAGAACAGCCGTCATTGTAGTCGACTCTCCCGGGATCAGGAAACAGTCCTCCATAAAATGTGCCAGGCGATCCACAGCACTAAGTTGATGTATTACCTCAGCGACCAGCACAGATCAGCTCTAGGCATGACGAAGCGGATATCGTCCTCTTTTGGAAGACCAAACAAAGTAGTTTCGCTTTCACAACGAAACACACAGCGTCTGCAGGACATGGCGGCGGCGGCAACAACAATACTACAGCGAGAATAAAAGTTACGCCTTCTTTCTTTGCGTGAACATTTGGGCGGCGTTATGCAAATCTTCCCACATAGTGAGGTAGATATGTGGGGGCATGTTCGAATGAGCCGTTTTAGGGGGGTGTGGCTGACTCTTAACTTTTATAAAGAATATCTCTTTGGATTTGAGACTTTAGTCTTTGCAACTTTACAGATCTTCTTTATGCACCAAGAGCTTGTAACACTCCAAAGAGAAAGGAAAAAATGAAATCGCATCATATGACCCCTTTAAAAGGGTGCTAGGGGATTAATGGAAAAATTCAAAGAAAACAGACTGAAAATATATATATATTTAAATAATAATAATGAAATCATAAAGTTAAAATTGACCAAATTTAACATTATTTGATTAATTCTAAAAACTAGTTGGAAATTAAGAAATAAATTACAATTATTTTATTTTATTGTTATGTTTAAATATGCAACAATACTCTGTTACTTGTATATTCCAAATAATAGGAAGTCGGTGGGACAAATTTAATGGTTTAAAATGTTCTTAATGATAATGATACTAATAATCATAATAATGTGTTTAAATTTAAATGGTTTCATTTTAAATACTAGTTAAATAAATTATGAGGTTAATTACAGTTATTTTTTAGTTATTATTTTTATTTTGACAGTCAGTTTTGTGTTTATATATCTAACAGTACACTACTGTTTAATAGAATAGACAGATTTAATGTATAAAATAATGTATGTATATTTTCTGATTTTTTTAATATTTTACATATTTTACATATTTGTAATTTTCACATTATAAATTCTTTATACTACATATATAGTATATAAAATAAATAATTCTATAATCTATATATACTAAATTCTATACTCTATATATTGTAAATTCTTTATACTATAGAATATAAAAACTTTATACTATGAACATATACAGTCATATTTTAGAACAAGAGGATCAATATATTATATGTATGATATTATATACTAGGCCCAGACAGAACATGCAGGATTTTCTGGGGAAATCTGTGTATTTTTACAGAATGAATTTAAATATGGGAAAAGGTGTTCGCACTCGTATTGGTAGCTGAAAGCATTATCAAATTGGCTAAATTATTTAATAAACGAACATGCAATGCAGGGGGAAACATCTACTTTATTAGTTATACAGTTTCCTTAATAACCATTATGTCTATTTAAATGAAAGACAATGGTCATAGATCTGTGTGCGTGCTGAAGTAACTGACGTCACCCCTGCAGGTTTTTGTGGAGGATTCGGCTCTCAGGGTGAAACACAGGCTGTGGTGGGCCATTGCGGAGGTGCTGTTTAAGGCCGGCTGGTTAGCTTGCTGGTCCACTGGAGACAGTAATGGCAGGGTAGCGAGCCAGAGAGAAGCCCTCATTCAAGCTACACTCAAAGCGCTGATCTCTAATTAGCATCCTAGACCCAGTAGGGTGGTTCCTGCATGTGCATGTGTGTGTGAAAGAGAGAAAGAGTGTGTGTTTGTATAAATCTGTGCTGTTTTTTGTCTTTTGACCTCCATTATCACTCTCTCTTTGTCCTCCTCAGCTCTGTTTGTCTGTGTGTCGATGTGTGTGAATGTGAGTGAGCGTTTCTCTGACTTCTTGGTCTATGTCTCCAGCGATCTGCAGGGTTAAAACGTCACTCTCAAGGATCAGATTACCAGAGAGAAACACAGACAGAGAGAGAGTGACAGGAGGCAGAGGTTTGAGGGAATACATGGATTGTCGTGTAAGTTAAGGAAGGAGTGAGGAATAAATACAACGAGAAGGAACTTTTTTTAGTTTACATTTTGAGCATTTAAGATCATGAGGCATCTTTTCCCCCAAATCGATCTCATTATTCCCACCCCGGTTACTGGTATCCATGGCAGTCACGGACATCGAGTCAGGTAGAGTGAGTTATAAATGTATTATGTGTGAGATTTCTTGGAAAAATAATGTGTTAGTGGATGTTAATGTGTGTGTTTTTTTTTTTTTTATTAATACCTGATTTACAAATCCTTCTGTCTGTGTCTTAGCCAAGCAAAGTGTGTTATAGATTTGTAGTTCGATCCTTTCAGGTTTATAGGATAGTGTGTGGGCATCTGTTAAGACTTAGTCCAGGCAGATTGTGGTTGAATGGATTTTTTTAAACACTCAAAGCCAGTCTATATGGGATTTATGGAGAAATCAGTGCCTTGTCCTTAGACTTTACATTTTTTTCTTCTACTAGAGAAAGATTACATGATCATTTATACTGAATCCTGAGGCTGAGGAGTCAACATCTGTGCAACTAAGAGAACAGGAAAGCAAAAGAAAGTGTGTTGTAGCACATTCATGTACTCTTTAGACTAATATACTAGATGGATGGATGGATAGATAGATAGATGGATAGATATATGACATTGATCGCTAGATGGATAAATGGATAGGTAGATGGATAGACATAAATGATAAATGTATCAACAGACAGATAAATGTATCTGGATGGATGGGCATGTATAGAATGACAGATAAATGGATAGACAGATAGACGGATATATGATAAATGTATCAATAGACAAAAAGGATGGATGGACAGACAGACAGAGAGAGAGAGACAGACAGACAGACAGATAGATAGATAGATAGATAGATAGATAGATAGATGTCTTCATTGATCGCTAGATGGATAAATGGATAGGTAGATGGATAGACATAAATGATAAATGTATCAACAGACAGATAAATGTATCTGGATGGATGGGCATGTATAGAATGACAGATAAATGGATAGACAGATAGACGGATATATGATAAATGTATCAATAGACAAAAAGGATGGATGGACAGACAGACAGAGAGAGAGAGACAGACAGACAGACAGATAGATAGATAGATAGATAGATAGATAGATAGATGTCTTCTCTGTCCCCTGTGACAGATGGGGGTTAAAGGTCACATAGGTCACTTGTACCGTTGTGTGGCTGGTGTGTTTGAGTTGGTGTGTGTGTTTGTTTGTGTTTTCTTTTGTTGTCATAGTACGGTCTGAATGATGGTGGCCACCCGGGAGCGAGAGGATGGTGTTTAACACAGTGATCAGTTACTCTGGTTAGCCACTATGACCCTGAGCAGATCCAAAACTGTACAGTAAATGTACAGCATTAAAAGCCTATCATGTGTGGGCTTCATAGACCTGTGATGTGGTCAAAAATCACTCAATAATCACTGCTAATGCTTTTTTTTCAATCCAAAGATGTGTTTCTATATAATGTTTCTACTTAGAACTTAATAACAAGTTCCATACCATTGATATATTTGAAAACAGAGTCTCAGATAATGTCTAAACTTTTTTTTTTTTTTTTTGCAGTTGGGATGACAGTAGTTCCGTCAGCAGTGGGATCAGTGATGCTATTGATACTGATGACATCAACACCAGCTCCTCCATAAGCTCTTACGCCAACACCCCCGCTGCGTCCCGTAAGGGCCTGAACGGACAGGTATGACCCGCGCACATTTGCACACACAAACACACACACACACACACACACACACACACTGTTACGCATTTATTTATGAACACTCTGATTCAATATGAACCTTTGTGTAAAACCTGAAATTTGGAGCTTCTGGTTACACTTTATTCCAATACTCCACTTTAGACGTTCTACTAACTAACTTTCTGTTTACTTGAACCCAACTCTCACATTCCCCTGATAGAGACCCTCATAAAGTGCTAAATAGTAAGTACTTGTGTCAATATTTAAGCCAAAGCAATTGACATGCCACATCACGAAAAACATTCCTCTGGACTGTAATTTCTAATTATATTGATATGGTAAGCTTGGTTAGTGTGAAAAAACCCTGCAAACTCTAAAACCACCAAATCTACTGCCCTGTGATGTGTGGAAGTTGTGACACATTTGTTGTTTCATGGTTGAGGTGTTCATTTTTAATTAATTTTGATATAGCAACCCGCTACGCACACCTTGGCAATATAATCGCCATTGACTAGTAAATTTTTTTGTTTACTCGCCAGACTGATATAGTCAGGTTTTGCTCACTTTTGGGCACAAATTAGTCCCCAAAATATGGTTAAGTAGGTAAACACACACACACACACACTCAGCTTATCTTTGTAAAATGGAACAGCTTCTTAAATAACTGAATGTGCACTCTTAACTTCAGCCAATCAAGCATTATATTATGATATTATGATAATTAAGCACTATAGCCAATGGCTAATGTTAGACATTATTTAGTCGCCCAGAGTAAGATTTAGTCGCATATGCGAGTGATTTACTCGCAATGTAGAGGGTTGTATAGAATTAAACAGGTAATTATAAGAAAATATATTGATAACTGATAATTATAAAAATTGAAGCCTAATTCCTAAGTCACCTTAATACCAATAAATACCAATAAAGGTTTATCCATCTATCCATCCGTAGTATTTCTATATCACATCACTGTGGAAAATATGTGAATACTTGCTAATATGACTATAACGCAATTCTAAAATTTGGTGCCTAATTCCTATGAATTAAGGAATATTTGTACTTGCTAAAATTGATACATTCATAATGTTGATTTGCAAGTTTGTATTGTTTTCTGTAGCCTCAGACAGATGCAGAGAAGCATTCAGCAGCCGAACACAACACTGCTTGGTCCAGTGATGAAGTTAAGAAGTCAGACGGGGGTTTGGATTGCGGCATCAAAATGGAAGCAGGTCTGAAGTGGCGGCGGAACCCTTCAGATGCTTCGGAGGAGTCTGATAAGAGCAGCTCTGGACGGAAAACAGCACCCATCACTCAGACGGGCTCCTGGAGGAGGGGCATGAGCGCACAGGTGGGCGTGACCGCACCGCGGACGAAAAGTACAACAGTAACCACGGCAACCGGCATGATTAAGACACAAGGGACAGGTAAGTGTTCTCTATCTAAGAGCATTTTGAAAACATTTCAACTGTAACTGGTCAGTGATGTTTGTTTTTAAGCTCGGAATTCAGAAAAGAAGGATTAATCGAAATAAAATGAAAACACAATTTGGCTTAGTGTGATCCCTTCATCTGTCCTGACTTTGAGTCGCTTGTAACATGCAATTGGGAACAAATTATGCACCAACCATCTTCCCAAATGTGTAATGAAAATCACTTATAAACCAGCTGTTGTCAACAAAAGAGAAGCTTTAAAGGGTTAGTTCACCCAAAAAAATTAAAATTAGCCCATAAAAAAAGCCCATTTTTATTTAACTTCTTTTGGACTGATGCACTGCAACACCCGCTGACTGCCATTAAACAGCTTGAAAGATCAAAGACAATTTTTAATATAACTCCGACTGGATTCGTCTGAAAGAAGAAAGTCATATACACCTAGGATGACTTGAGGGTGAGTAATTTATGGGCTAATATTCAGTTTTGGGTGAACTAACCCTTTAAGGACTTAATGGTGTTCTGCCAAAATAAAAGCTTGATGGTTTAATGTTTGAAAAAAAAAAATCATAATTTTAGAAATTAAAAAATGTATTAACATTTGAAAATAATTTTATTATATTATATATAGTATATTATATAGTTATTGTATTTTAGTATTGTAATTATTAGCAATTTAATTTTACAGTTGTACTTTAAATTGTTTTCTTAAATACTGTTTTTTACAATTGCAATATTTGTTTTTTGTTTCATATTTTTACTTGTTAATTATTATTATTATTATTATTATTATATAGCTTTTTTATCTGTTGGACTGTAAAATACTTTTTCTTAAATAAATAATTTAAAATTATTCAAATTAAATTATTTATAATTCAATAAATTATGTATAAATTATTACAATTATTATTGTTGTTGTTTTTGCTGTTGTATAGTCATATGGGTAAACAATTAAAAAATGACCAGACTGAGCAGCCCCAGCTTTGTTTTTATCAGAAAAATCACATTTTGATTTTTCCCACAAGTCATGCAGCCTAGTTTCATTTAATCACACATTGACATCCTACAAACAGTGTTGACTTTATCTGCAAGTTTTATGCATTATCAACTTGTCCAGCTGAAACATTCTTTTGTCCAATAGATAAAACAGATGACGCTAAGGTCTCCGAAAAAGGCCGCATGTCTCCCAGTTCCAACATCGTCCAGCATTCCTCCTCCGACGCCGGTCGAAGCAGCGGAGACGAAGCCAAGAAAACACCCGCAGGCCGAGTCCCCACAAGCACATTTGGTTTCAAGAAGCCCAATGGCGTCCACGGCCCGGCCACTGTGGTAACCACCTCCAGCATCACTCTGGTGACAGCAAGCGGCGCCACCATTACCAGCGGCTCCGCCACCCTGGGCAAGATTCCCAAGTCCTCCGCCCTTCTGGTCGGTGGGAGAGGGTCGTTAAAAGGGGCTGTGGATGGTTTATTGCCTCCTCAGGAGGATGGCTACCTGTCCCCCAGTGCTCGTTCAACACTGCAGTACCGAAGTCTACCTCGACCCTCTCGTTCCGGAGCTGCGGCCCGCAATGGAAACCGATCGTCCACTAGCAGCATTGAGTCAAGCTTGAGTTCCCGAACACCTGTCCTTACTGCTGTCACGGCCAGCAAACCGAAAGATTCTGCCACTAAAACCAACGGGCACATAATCCAAGCCAATCAGACGGACAAAGAGAAGAACGTGGCCTCAGAGATGAACAACCTGAGAACCAATCCGATTGTTTCGGGAGGAGGGGCGGCAACTATTCCACAGACAGCGAGACAGGGAAACAAGTATAGTGAGGTCTCGTCTCCAACATTGCGAAGGTACAAAAAGGGATGGGGGCAACATACCACACACAGAATTTCACCCTCATAAATCAGAGTTTCCATTGACGCTTCCTCAATTAATAGCTCCATTCATCTTCTCAGGCCCCTCTTACACAGCCAAACATGTGAAAGAAGGAATGAGTTTTTGTAACCTCCTCCAGCTCCATGATTAGGGTCTTTCTGAAGCTGTTTACATAACCTGCTTTATGACGGTCATGGATCACGACTCTCCAGGGTGGCTTGCGTTTCCCTCTGAGCTGCTCGTGTTATTGATGAGCAAAGCTCTTTTAATCTTTTTCCACTATTTTTAAGGATAGAACCATGTTTTTTTTCCTCAGCTTCAGGGGTTAAAAAGGGACAAAGTGAACATTAAAGGTTGAAAATAAAGAGAAATAGAACTTAGTAAGCATCACTCTCACTTAGTATGCATATTGCTCAAAACAAAACACATAACTCTTTGTATAAAACTTCTGTATTTAACTTGTCCTGCATGTTTGCGTTATATACTTGATCACACTTTTTTCACAATTTTTTTAGAAAGATTTATTTATTATGAAAGAAATTAATGCATTTATTCAGCATTGATTAAATGTGACAGTAAAGACATTTATAATGTTGCAAAAGATTTTTTCATTCAAAATAAGTGCTAAACTTTCTGATCATTAAAGAATACAAAAAAAAATTGAAATAAAAATGATCATAGTTTCCACAAAAATATTAAGCAGCACAACTGTTTTCAACATTAATGGTAATAAGAAATGTTTTTTTTGTTTTAGTTTTTTTGAGCACCATATCAGCATATTACAATTATTTGAGGATTTGAGTAACGGCTGCTGAAAATTCAACCTTCTTATCACTGGAATAAATTACATTTCAAATTATAATAAAATTGAAAATTAGGTTATTTTAAACTCTAAAAATAGGTTATTTTAAACTCAAAAAATATTTCATAATACTGTTTTACTGTATTTTTGTTCAAATTGTTGAGCATAAGAGACTTCTTTCAAAATAACTTTTAAACATTTTACCAACTTCACATTTTTGAACGGTAGTGTATATGTACACTAGCTTCTTAGTGTTAACTAAAATGCCTTTCCATTTTACTTCCATTTTACGCTACCTTGAGAATCCACCCATTCAGAAATGAAAGAATCTGGATATTATGTTTACTCATGATTTCTCATTCTCTGTTTTGCTATTATTTTCTGATTTACTGAATGTTCAGTTTTATTATATTCTCTGTTTCTCTTTCTTCATCTCTCAGACTTTTTGGAGGTAAGGCTGCTAAACAAGCCCCGGTCACCACTGCAGAGAGCATGAAAAACTCAGTCGTCATTTCCAACCCCCACGCTACCCTTGGGCACACCCAGTCCTCCGGTGGGCCCTTGGACTCCCCCTCCACAATACCAGGCAGCGGCAGCAGCAGTCCTCTGTACGGGGGTCGTGGTGCCATCATAGGGGGCAGCGAACAAGCTTCGAGCCCTGGTTCGGTGTACTCAACAGGCACTGGGACTTGGGGCACCACCATCAGCAGCTCTTCGGCTCTCGGCTACCCCTCCGTCAGCAGCATGCACACCAGCAGCGAGTCCATCGACATGTCAGTGGGCAGCGGGCATCACCGTGACGATGTTCACCCAGTACTGATGAGAATGGGTAGTGCTAAGACAGGCATGTCAGAGAGGTGAGTCTTTGTACTTTTTTATCTGTGAGACTGGTCTGGGTTAACACTGAAATATTGTGATTTATAATTCTGAATTTGAGTGCTAATCTGAATTGAATTTTGATTCTGAATTAGAATGAGTTCTTGATTCTGAAAAACATTTTCACTTTGGGGTAACTGAATCTCCTAAATGATTTTTCCTATGTCCATGGAATACAAGAGTCACTCCTGAACTCACACTCACATGGTGATGGCCATAGCAAAAGAGACATGATAGCCGCAGAGTCATAATCATAATTCTGAATTGGAATCTACAGTAAACTCAAACTAGAATTCAGATTTTGATTCAGATTCTCATTTGGAATGGCTATTCAGTTCATAAGTTATTTGGTGTTTTTTAAAACACCTAAAGATTTTAGGTTTACACATTTTAATTAAATCACATCGCAAATCAGGAAACCAATTTCGATTCAGTGTTATTTTAGTATTATTTTTATACTATTTATTAATGTTTTTAATTAGCTTTTATTTGTAGGTTTTCATTTTAGTCTAAGTTTTAGTATTTTTATGTGCTTTTGTCTCTTATATTTAACTTTTTCAAGTTTTTATTTATTTGTTATTTATTTTATTTAACTTTTTAAGTATTTTTAGTTTTAGAAATGTTAGTACTTAAACATGTATTTCAGGTAGTTGCTAAGGCAGCATTTCTAATTTTCATTATTTTTTAAGGGTTAGTTTTCATGTAATTATTTCTATTTTGCTTTATTTTTTATTTCAGAAAATGTGTTTTAGTTTACAATTCAACACAGTTTCAACTCAGATTCTGTTATTTGATGTTTATATTTTAATTTATAGTTCTAATTTTAAATTCAAGTTTTGTTTTGTTTTTTAATGGAATTTTTTTATTTTTTTTATTCTGAATATCTAAGTACACATTGCAAAGATTTGGGATTGACGGTAACCACATTTAAATGCTGCGAATTCCCTAAATTTCATTCCAGAATTTTGCAATAATTCAAGACAGTGATAAATATAGAAAAAGAAGGTGGAAAACTATAGAAAATCTGTTTGTACCTACATTATGTAATCTACAAGAAGAAGCATTCTGAATCGGAATCCAAAACAGAATTCTGATTATAATTTAGTTTATACATGTACTGAAGTCAGTTGGTGTTTGTTGAAAAACCGGATTGATGGATAAACTTTAGGTTTACAAATTTAAATTGAACCATTCTATCACAGTGCTCAGAATAACTTACTTAACACACTTTATCAGGTTGAAGAACATGATACTGCAGTGTGGAAGCCTCTTTGTGTGTCTCTAATTCTGTATTCATCTCTTCTCCAATGCTCTTTTTGTCTATCAACCCTCTCCTCTCCCCTCTACTTTCCCCAAGTCCCCTCTCCTCTCCCTCTGCGAGTCCTAAATTCAGCCGTAACACATTGCCACGGAATCAAGACAGGTAAAATGTCTGATAGCTTTTGGGTCCGCCGGTGCTGCTTTTTAATACTGACATGGCTTTGTGTCTTGTGTTTGCGCTATTTTATAGTTTTAAAGACCCCATGCAATCAAAATTGGAGTTTTGTTGCTTTTAGTCCATGTCTCTTAGTTTTGAGGCCATTTATATGATAGCGAACGTCTTTCTTTTTTGGAAAAATTGACCAAAACAAATCTACTCTAGCAACACCTAGTGGTAAAATCCATAACTTTCCTCAATCAAAGCCAGAGCTTTGATTAAAATGATGGTTTGTTGGCTTTATGATTAATGTGACGGCACAGATCAAGACTCTTATGAGTTCTAGATGAGTCAAAGGACAGATCAAATGATAATCACCTTGCAATTATAATTAAATTAAACCTTATTATCTGTCTGGACCAACCCCTTATGATTGAGTAAGCTCTACATGTTCCATCTCTCAGTGATTCCTGCAGTGATAGAAGCACGCTTCCCAAGCAGGGACTCAAGTACAGGTGCATTGTGGGAATGTGCAGATCCTGCTCACTGTGCTTACTGTACTGGCACTCACGTTCTCCTTCTTTCTATTCTATCTCTTTTTCTCTCACACATGCTTCTATGTTTTAATATGCAGTGTGGCCACAGTTTTATTTTTGAGCACTGTTTTCTGTTGCAGTTTTGGTGTGAGTGCATGGCACTTGTCACTTTTGTAGAGAGTTTGTTTCACATTATGGAGTACTGTATGTGAATTAGCAGCTTTTTTTTGGAAATTTCTGTTGTTCTTCCCACAGTTTTATTTATTTTTTATTTTTTGCAGTCTGCAGTGTGTGAGCATTTCAAACTTGTACCCAAACTTTTATTTGTAATTCCTTTTACACTCATGGTATTGCAAGTTAGTGATGAATTTTAAATAATTATTCACATTATTCACATTAATGTTTTTTGTTTTTTTGGTAAATGCAATATA